TCAAAAATAATCTTTGCCTAGCTGATGATCTTTTTTAAAATATTTTTATTGGTTTAAGGTTTTCATACAATGTATTTTGGTCATAGTCACATCCCCTCCCTTCTCTCTAGTCACACCTTACTATTTCCCCACCAACTTAATATCCTCTATTATTATTTGTCTTTTTTGGGTATTTTTGAGACTGGGTCTCCTTTTAGCCCCAGCTGGCCTAGAACTCCTTATATAGACCAGGCTGGCCTCGAACTCACAAAGATCTTCTTGCCTCTGCCTCCCAAGTGCTGGGATTAAAGGTGTGCACCACCATGCCTGGCTTTATTTCAGGCCTATGGAATCCAGTCTGTATTGCCAAGTATTCTTGGGTGTGGCTCTATCCCTTGGAGTCTGGTCAACCTACCAGGCATCGCAGCAATAAGGAAAACTGAGTCTTTCTTTCCCAGCATCTATCAATTGCCAATAGATCTTAGGCTGGGGCTGGGGGTTTCTGCTTACCTCCTCCATCTGTGCTGTGTCCTTGTCTGGTTTGAGTTGCACAGATCTTGTGCATGCTGTTATATAAGCTATAAGTTTATATGTACAAATACCCTGTTATGTCCAGGCAACACATTTTCCTTGCATTCATCTACCACTTCTAATTCTTAAAATCTTTCACCCCCCTCTCCTCCAATGATCCCTGAGACTTTGGGAAAGAGGGTGCAATATGGGTATCCCATTTAGTACTGAGAAATCTGCAGTCTTTTGTTCTGTGCACACTGGCCAGTTGTTGGTCTCTGTGTTAATCTCATTAAAAGTAGGTATAGGGCCAGCAAAATGTCTCCATGTCTTAAGGCACTGGCCTCCAAATCTGATGACCAGAGTAAATCCCTGGGGCCACACGGTGCAAAGAAAGAACCAACCCCAACAAGTTGCCCTCTGAACCCCGTAAATGCTGCATGAAAATAATAAATATATACACAAATGCGTAATCAATTAATTAAAGGAGATATTAGATTGCTCTACTTCACTGGCCATTCTAAGAACAATGGTAACACATATGTGCTATAGTTACAACACTACTTGGTCCAGGGCAAAAGATTTGTGCTTAAATGTTGTTTCTATTGAGTTAAATCACAGAACGATTCATGATGGAACATTTTAAAGAGTGAGTGAGGTTAGAAGCCAAAAATTAACAGAAGTACAAGTGAATACGTGATGCAGAATGCAAGAAAAAATGAAGATTGAAAGGACAAAACAGTAAGGGTGCAGTTTGTGATGACGTTTAGCAGCTTTGTCTGAACTTTCTCAATACTATATTGTGCAAATGTGCACTGAGCTGAACACCTAAATGACTGATATCGTGACTACATATGGACATGCGTGCATACACATTGTCACTCTGAATTCCCCACATTAATAAAAGTAATTCAGTCTTCAGGTTAATTGAAGATGTGTGAGTTTTATCATTAACAGTTTTGTCATTGAATTCCACAGTTCACGTCGCCTTGACATTAACATTTATGTCTGGAAAATTCCAAAAGCTGATGATGAGAAACCACACGTCAGTTACAACATTCATCCTCCTGGGACTCACAGATGATCCTCAACTGCAGGTCTTACTTTTTATTTTTCTCTTTATCACCTACATGCTGAGTATAACTGGTAATCTCACTATCATTATCCTCACTGTAGTAGATCTCCACCTGAAAACTCCCATGTATTTTTTCGTACTGAGAAATCTGCAGTCTTTTGTTCTGTGCACACTGGCCAGTTGTTGGTCTCTGTGTTAATCTCCACCTACTGATGATCATTACAGAGAATAACAAAGTCTGTAACTTTCAGTCTTAATTTTTCACTGTAAGAACTATTGAACAGATAAATCAATATATTAAAATGTATATGGAATAAAATTGAGAAAATTATGGGCTGGAGAGATGGCTCACTGACTGTTCTTGTAGAGGACCCAGGTAGAATTTCCAGCACACACATGGCTGCTAAGAACCGTCCTTAACTCCAGCTCCAGGGGTATCCTGAGCCCTCTTTGACCTCTGTGGCATTGCATGACACAGGTGCACTTGCATGCAGGCAATACATTCATACACATAAAAACATGGAAAATTAGCTAGCCACACTTTGACCTTCGTAATCCCTCAGCCCTGATATTACACATGAATTAAGGACTGATTGGAACCATGCCTTTAGGATTTGTCCTTGGCTATTCTACTACACCAGCTGTAACAACATCATTTCTAACACTCCCACCATTTACTCCTCCATCATCTTGCTGTCCATAATAGAAAAGAAATTGAAGAGTAACTGGGTCTTTGTTTTGATAACCAATAAAACCACAGTGTTTGTAAATATAAAGTATTAAGTCAAATGTGTTCCAATAGTCAGAGGACAGTGAGTTATACATAGAACTATGAAAACTGACTGGCCACGGGATTATAACGGGATTATACTTTACCTCTTGGTGCATCAGATTTCCCAATTAAAAGTAGGTATAGGGCCAGCAAAATGTCTCCATGTCTTAAGGCACTGGCCTCCAAATCTGATGACCAGAGTAAATCCCTGGGGCCACACGGTGCAAAGAAAGAACCAACCCCAACAAGTTGCCCTCTGAACCCCGTAAATGCTGCATGAAAATAATAAATATATACACAAATGCGTAATCAATTAATTAAAGGAGATATTAGATTGCTCTACTTCACTGGCCATTTTAAGAACAATGGTAACACATATGTGCTATAGTTACAACACTATTTGGTCCAGGGCAAAAGATTTGTGCTTAAATGTTGTTTCTATTGAGTTAAATCACAGAATGATTCATGATGGAACATTTTAAAGAGTGAGCGAGGTTAGAAGCCAAAAAGTAACAGAAGTACAAGTGAATACGTGATGCAGAATGCAAGAAAAAATGAAGATCTGAAAGGACAAAACAGTAAGGGTGCAGTTTGTGATGACGTTTAGCAGCTTTGTCTGAACTTTCTCAGTACTATATTGTGCAAATGTGCACTGAGCTGAACACCTAAATGACTGAAACCGTGACTACATATGGACATATGTGCATACACATTGTCACTGTGAATTCCCCACATTAATAAAAATAATTCAGTCTTCAGGTTAATGGAAGATGTGTGAGTTTTGTCATTAACAGTTTTGTCATTGAATTCCACAGTTCACGTCGCCTTGACACTAACATTTATGTCTGGAAAATTCCAAAAGCTGATGATGAGAAACCACACGTCAGTTACAACATTCATCCTCCTGGGACTCACAGATGATCCTCAACTGCAGGTCTTACTGTTTATTTTTCTCTTTATCACCTACATGCTGAGTATAACTGGTAATCTCACTATCATTATCCTCACTGTAGTAGATCTCCACCTGAAAACTCCCATGTATTTTTTCTTCAAAAATTTCTCTTTCTTAGAAATCTCCTTTACAACTGCCTGCGTTCCAAGATTCTTATACAGTATTTCAACTGGAGACAGAGAAATTACCTATAATGCATGTGCTACTCAATTATTTTTTACAGATCTCTTTGGTGTAACTGAGTTTTTTCTTTTGGCTACCATGTCATATGATCGCTATGTGGCCATCTGCAAACCTTTGCATTATATGACCATCATGAACAACAAGGTGTGCAAAACAATGATTATTTCTTGCTGGATATCAGCACTCATGATCATCCTCCCGCCACTTAGTTTAGGCTTACAGCTGGAATTCTGTGATTCTAATATCATTGATCATTTTGGATGTGATGCAAACCCTCTCCTGAAAATATCGTGCTCAGACACGTGGTTAATTGAGCAGATGGTTATAGCCTCTGCTGTGTTGACTTTCATCATTACTCTTATATGTGTACTCTTCTCCTACATATACATCATAAGGACAATTCTAAAATTCCCTTCTGCTCAGCAAAAGAAAAAGGCCTTTTCCACCTGCTCTTCTCACATGATCGTCGTTTCCATCACCTACGGCAGCTGCATCTTCATCTACATCAAACCATCTGCAAAGGAAGAGGTGACCATTAACAAAGGTGTGTCAGTGCTCATTTCCTCCATATCACCCATGCTGAACCCTTTTATATATACTCTGAGGAACAAGCAAGTTCGACAAGCCTCTCACGACTTACTCAAGAAAATTGCATTTCACTTAAAGAGGTAAAACGTGGCTAAGTTGACAAATCAAAGCATCCACATTTACTTCTTATTTTTCATGACCAATATCCAGCTTTGTAATTTCCTTGCATGTAGTCCAATCAAGTTGACTCCATCAGTTGTTAACCAATAATTTCCCCCTAGTTTGTTTACTGGGGAACTAATTCCTGAGCAATGTGACACATAATATGTGTCACTTAGAGAGCGGAGAGGTGCTTCAGCGATTAAGAGCACTGGCTGCTCTTGCAGAAGACCTGGGCTCAATTCCCAGCACCCACATGGCAGCTGCCAACCTTCTGTAACTCCAGTTCCAGGGCATCTGACACCCTCTTCTGCCTTCACAGGTACCGCATGACATGGGTCTACTTACATACACGCAGGCAATGCACTCATACACACAAAATGAAAATAATCAAGTATTTTTTAATGTGTCACTTTGAATCTCTGAACCAAAACTTACAAGAGCATCACTGGGTCTCCTTTCCTTTCCTACAACTTTTATAAGACGTCATTCTTAAGGAAGACATAAGTTCTTTCCCCAGTAAAATATGACACATTTAACTAACAAATTTTTAAGAAATTTTATTTATTTTTTATTTCAGTTAATGTGTATGAATGTATTGCCTGCATTTATGCACATGCACCCGTATTGTGAGATGCTGACAGAGGTCAGAAGAGAGTGCTGGATCCTCTGGAATGGAGTTACAGATGGTTGTTAGCCACCATGCGGGTGCTGAAAATTGAACCTGAGTCCTCTGCAAGACCAGCCAGTGCTCTTAACCACTGACCCATCTCTCCAACCCTCAAGAATTGAAATATCTATAGAACAATGACTGATTTGTGGAAAGATATTAAAGAGGGAATAGAAGTAGAAGGATAACTTTCTGCCACACTTAACATTACATGGTTAATGCCGTAACTGTATAAACAGAGCTTATGGCCATGTTTGGTAGCAAACACTTTTAATCCCTGCACTTGGGATGCAGAGGCAGGTATATCTCCATGAAACTGAGGCCAGCATGTCTATTTAGGGAGGTCCAGGCCAGCTGGAGCTACAGGAAGATCCTGTCTTCCAAAAAAGTAAAATAAAAAAAAACACAGCTTATTATGAGTTCCAAGAAAAAGTAAAATATTTAATTCACTAAAATGAAAGAAATTACCTTTAAGAGGGAACACACAATATCATTATTCATCATAGTGTACACATAAAAACCCTGATCCATATTTTATTCATCATATTTTCATGAATTATTTTATTTTATTTATATTGAGTACATGTTTATTTAGTAACAGAATTGGTTTCTTTAGAAAAATGACTTGAACTCCTTCAAAACAGTACAAAGCAATCTTTCAATACTTGTAGTTTAAACCAAAATCTGTAATTCCATATCCTCTTTCATATATTTCAATATACAAAATTAACCAAAAGTTTTTCACATTATCCATAAAAAAAATGGAATGCTTCACATATTTGCATGTTGTCCTTGCACAGGGGTGGTGCTAATGTTTCTGTTATCGTTCTAATTTCAGTATATGTGCTGCTGAAGCGAGCACTCATGAAATTTGTATTACTTAAAAATAACAAGCATACTAACATTTAAAATGAATCAGGCACTTTAACAAACAGTTTGTATGAAAAAATCAAATACCAAATTACATATAACTCTTCACCTATAAAATCTGCATGTAGAAATCTATGCCAAAATTTTAATTGCCAATAAGTATCATAGTCATTTTTAAGTAGAAAAGTGTTAGAAGCAACCAAATTTACATTAATTGACAATGTGTAAGTCAATGAGGGAGTTGGGCTGAGAGTGTGACCCATTTGAAACACATGTGCCTAGTCACCTTACAAGAAGATCAAGCAACCTGAGTCAAGAATATTTATCATTTATCTAGGGTGATAGAGAGATGGCTCAGTGGTTAAGAGCACTGACAGCTCTTACAGAGGACCTGGGTTCAATTCCCAGCACCCATATGGTGTATAACAACATCCGTAACTCCAGTTCCATGGGAAATCCAATGCCATCTTTCGATCATCTTCAGGCATTGTGTGACATTGGCCCACTTACATTCATTCAACAATATATTCATAAAAAAAGTTTGAAGGATATCTATCTACTTTCTAAGTACAGCTTAAATTTACCTTTAGGGATCATGTTAAATCACCCCCCAAACGGTTCTTATGCATGAGAAATTGAGTAGCGAAGGGAAACGCTTGGTTTAAAACCAGCAACTGTAAAACTAAGTTGAGAAAGGAGAAATTCATAAATTCCTGCTGCATGTTAGTAAATGAATCAAATTGCCTCCAGACTTGTATTGAACAATCAAACTTGTGCCTAGCAAGGCTGTGGGATTAAGGAATGTAGAAATCTTCAAAGAGGCTGGCTCTTTCAAGCTTTCTGCATCTCCAAAAAGCGTTTTCTTACATTAAAGAAAAATAAAGTGCTTTAATGTGAATCACATAAAAGTAAAAAGAGGATTGACAGATGAGTCAGATCAATTGGGAGAAAGCACCACTAAACAGATATAACTCTGCAGGATAGAGTTCGTTAGCAGAGGAAAAGTGAACAGGACAATTCCCTTTGGAATAGGGAGGTTGTCAGTCTACAGGTTGTGGACTGGGGGTTTTATAGGCTGGCTTTGGGGGATGCAGAAGGTGAGAAAAAAAATTTTAAAGCAGGAGAGAAGGTGCCTGGGGCTTATCAGAACAGCTGCTGTTAAAAGTGCCCTTTTCTGTCCCCTTCCATCGGCCAGGATCTGGGTCATGGGATAAGGAGTCCATATAATGTCAAACTTATTGGGGGGAAATAGCTTGTACCAAGACAGCTCCTATATTAAAGGATCCAGAATAGAGGAGCCTGTTCTACTTCCAAGATCATCAAAGGGGAAGCAGGAAGTCCTTGACCAAAAGGTGCAGAGAGTCCTTTTCTCTTGGCTTCAAAGACAAGGGTGCTCATTACCTCGGTTCCTGTATTCTAAGGGGCTTGCAAAGCCATGAAGGCCTATTTGGGAGGGTGCTGCTGCAGATCCAAACCCTGACAAGGATATTGAATTATTTCTCAGAATTCCTGTGAGTTGGAAATCTTGAAGCCTTGTGGGCATGAAAAAAAATAATTTTGCATGTTAGAAACTAAAGTCATTGCAAGTCAAATATGTAAGAAAGAATTTTTGCAAGAAACTATCTGGGAGCATGTGATGGATCTGATACATAAGTCCTGAACTCTACAAATACTTCTCCCTCCAGGCATCCCACTGCAATCTCTGAAAACAACAGCAGTTTATGACAGGCTAGTCAGAATACACCCTAGAAACAAAGAGTAGGTGAAAGGTCCTCCATGCATCTGACCAATGCTTGAATTATCCACAGGCCATAATTAAAGCTGGGACAGGTAAAGAAGAATCTGTTAAAATACGTGAAAAGAGTCAGACATCAGAAGTTAAAAATCACTTGTTTTCATTCTGAATCTTAGCTTTGCCCCTCTAATGATTGGCTCACAGGGATTAATCAGTGAGGATGTATTCTTAACATAGAAGTTATTTTAATGTACTTATGAGTTTTCTACTACATCAGTTTTGACATTATCAATTAACAGCACAGAGCTGTTACTGGCATATTATGTGAGAACCTAGGGGAAAATAATGTTAAACAGCACTGATTTACCCACTGCTCTTTCTCTTGGCTGGCTTTGGCACTTTGGCTCCATTGTACGTAGCTCAAGAACTTGTCACCTTCAGTCCTGTCCTATTGACCCTTAAATTCAACTACCATTAAAGACAAAGTCCTATATTTATCTTTATCTTTATATTTATCCCTGAGATTGACTGGAACCTGTGTTGGCCATCAAATTCGCCTTAATTCTGAGGAAATTTATTATTGTGAGTCCTTTTCATTAGAAAATATCACAGTCCAAGGACTGGCAACCATTATGTATTTTTAACCATTGTTCCAAGCAGTAATCATTTTGAGATCATTTTATCTCTCTCCCCCAGTATGCTGATTCTATAGGGAACATTACTTAATAAACTTTACTTAATAGGTAATTGTTCTTTACCTGGGCTGAGGGACAATATATCAATAACTAATGAACAATTTAACATTATTCAATAATCTTGGCCTTGAAGGTGCAATTTGAGCTACGTTTCAGCTATTCTTATTCCCTGTGTCCGTGACATATTCAATAGCATGTATATCAAAACTTGTACACTTTCAAAGAGGAACCTTTAAGATATATGAATTATATCTTTATTTTTTAAAGTAAACATGCAAATATTTTGTATACTGGAAATTGGGATCAGAGAATTAGCCAGTCAACATGGAACATATTCAGTAATAAACATGAATTATTTTGGTTTCAATTTTTTTCTTCTCATATTGAACAATAGACAGCAAAACAAAATTGATTGAGGAATAAAATCAAATTTATCTTAGTGGTGACTCCAAAATTACATAATGTGGTCTATGTTAATTTCCATAGCATAGTTTGCATAGCACATTAAAAAAAGATTCATCAGAGGCCTGGAGAGATGGCTCAGTGGTTAAGACAATGGCTGTTCTTGCAGAAGAGCCAGGCTCAGTTCCCAGCATCCACATGGCAGCTAACAACCATCTGTAACTCCAGTTCCAGGGGATCCAACACCCTCTTTGGATCTCCATGGGCATTTCACAACACAGGTACAGTTACATGCACATCAAACAAAGTATTTTTAAAGACTCATCAACATTCAGTAGATGGGACCAGAAAGAGGCTCAGTGGTTAAGAGCACTTGCTGCTCTCCCAGAGGACCACAGCCCAAATCCCATCACCCACCTAGGGTGGTTCACTACTGCCTGTATCTCCAGCTCTAGGAGACCAAATAGCCTCTTCTGGCTTCCATGAGCACACACATGCACATGTACACACACTCAGACACACCTATACACAAAAATAAACAATAAAATAAATCTTTAAAAATAAAAATATCAGAGGATGGATGGTGGGAGCCAGGAGGTACTTGGGGGAGGATGGGGATAATGGACGCACTGTGACTAGGGAGGGAACCAGATGGGAGAAAAGAAGAGTGGAGGTGAGTGAATCGTGGGGGGCTAGGACCCCTAGAGGAAGTGATGCCCTTGAAATCCCATGAGGAATGCAAATACAGTGTCTGATCATTAATGCGTATGTACACCTGGAAGCTGCTTGGCAGGAAATGCAGTACCAGACAGAAGAGATCTTTTGGATTGGTAGGTGGAGGTAGTACAGGAGACTTCCAAAATAACACAGGATATTGCCAAACCTCTTGGTTATCTTCCAGAACTAGTAGATAATATCCTGCTCTTAGGTAAAGACATACTTGGGGCAGAGGACCTGAACCAATGGAGTAGGAACTGACCTGGAAGCCTTCGAAAAATGTTTGGCTATTATATCCTAAATGATAATATGGAAATTGTCAAGGGAGAATAACAATGAATGGTTCATCCCAGCCCTAAAGCTTAACAACGAAGGCAACGGGCATGACAAACCACCTGTTGGTGCAGTAGTGGCACTGTTATGTGGGGGGCAATCGACTATCTAATTGGACTTAAAGCTCTCTCAATGGGAGGGAATACACGGGTGACACTGTAAACTCAGCCAAATACACAGGACAGGAGAGGTCATAGATCCTGGGGAAAAAAAAAAACCTATCTCTTTCCCGTGTTAGGAAAAAAAGAATCTTCTTACTATATGCCAAATATCCATCCTTACCTTTACAGAGAATCATGCAATACAGCCCTTATCAAAGAAGCTTCTTTTTGCAACAGATGGAGGCTAGTGCAGAGTTTCAATCTGGTCAGGCACAGAGAACATATGTCTGGGAGATGCCAGTACTAGGTGACACATCTGCAGTTGAATCTATACAGCTAAAGCCAATGGAACATGGCAGAATAAGGGGTAGAGAGAGGGCTAAAGCATCCCTCAACTCTCACCACTGAGGCTTCCCTGTACAGCAGAGTGTGATGCAAACAGAAGGCCACAAATGGCCAAATTTTGGAGAATAAGGGGCTGTGTAGTGTAGGATGGGACTCCTGTATGGAAGTTCACCAACCCACGGCTCAGGGACCATTGCAGAATGGGGGGTGGATAGATGGTAAGAGCAAGGGCTGCTTCATGAATACAGAGAGGTGGAGGCTTCAAAGCCACCGGAGTCTTGCTCATGTGAGCCTGTGGCAATAGTGGTGTTGATCAAGAGATTCATGTCAGCTCAATTAAAAAAGGGCCCAGAGTGAAAGTCATAAATACGTGGTGGGCCAGCAATACACTGAAAACCATTTGAGATTGTTTCTGCTGGGAGAGAGCGAGTATAATTTACATATGACTATTGGATGAGATATAACTAGACTCCAGTGGATGCCTTTACACTGAAGGACATTTGGGTACAAACACCTGAATGAATAGAACTTAATATGTATGGCAGAGTGTATGGGGTTTGGTGGAGGATAGGAGAGGCATGGAAGGAGGAGAGGGCCTGGATTTGATTGGGAAATGTATGAAATTTAAAAAGCTCCATAAAAAAGTAAACCTTGCTACAGACAG